CGAGGATCTAAGTTGATTCGACTGCAAATTAACCAATGCAAAACTCTACCTGAACTAGGAATGTTATCCGTATGATGACTTGAATCTGGATTTTGATAAAAATTTTCTGCAAGGGCTACTACGGATACGAGTATCTCGAGATACACCTTTACGACTTTTCTACGTAATGGTTCGTTCGTGCATCAATTGCTCTCGAACGAATTAGTCAAGATTGGCACCGTGGACTTTGAATATAAACAGAACGTGCCTGTAAATACGACAGCCTATTGTCTCATCGTATACGATCGCGTAGATCAGTATAATTCGTTTATCAACGTTGGGCGCAAAAGTATCTAAGTGCATTCGACACGATATAAAATCTGCGATACGTCGCAATCGATCGCAGTCTTCTTCTTCTTCTTTTCGACAATATGTCCCTACTAATATTCGTGGATCTTCAAGGGGGGGGGATTCATTAGTAACAAAAAATTTATCGTGAAGGAAGGCAATGCTGAAATAGAGGACCGGTCTCACGCTTTACATTTTTACGAATCCCGTGTCATGGAAATTTTTGACAAGATCCGACAGATCTTGCATTTCTTGATTGATTGCTTATCATCTTGTATTGCGATGGGAGGACGGAAGGATCCTATACAGCGAGACAAAACACTTGATCATGATGGCTATCTTTGAAGATGATGCTATCTTGTTTCTGGATGATGAGCGAGAATGTATATACATCGAGACTTTAGATGCAGTTTACGAAGATATAGAATCTTTAACTAATATGGATGTTACTAATACTGTGCGATGTGGACATGTTAAGAATTGCACGTTACAAAGTATTGAAAATATGTAACTGATGGTTGCAAAAAAATTTTTTAAATAAAAATACGTTAACGTTACGTTAAAAATACGTTATTTATTATGTATTTCTTTTCCCTTTCTTTGTAATACGTATATGTATTAGGTGTTGGAATTAATTCGTAGCGTTTTTAATGAAAGAATGTTATTTATTTCACATGAGCATTAAAAAATACATTAATGAAAGTACTTCCCATCACTTGTAAAACGCTACGAATTAATTCCAACACCTAATATATATGTATGTATGTATGTAAGCATGTGTGAATGTATGTATGTACGTATGTATGTACATGTATATACATATGTACTTATGTATGTACATGTATGTACATATATGTCTGAAAAACATCAATGCTTCTCTTACGCGCGTCGCGATATACTCACCGATCTGACAGTGTATAAGCAGTATATAAGACTTTTTTTTATTCAATCGTAAGCTTCAGTTACGTGCGTTAAGCATGGACCGAGTAAAAGAATACATACACCGTCGAAAGTCGAGCAAAAGAGGTACTGTCTCGTGCCATCAGGTCCACCAAGTCCCCTATCGAAGGAAAAAACTAGATACTGGGAATGCTTTGGGGAAAAAACATCAAAGTCGTCAACGTGTTTATCATCATCATAAAAAATCAAAAGGTGATATAATTTTTGTCGGTACTGTATATATATATATATATATATATACTTGTATATATATAACATTGATATACTCGCGAACAAAAAAACGTAAAAAGTTGCGATAAAATGTATTGCGGTACGTTTGGAATTCTTGGAAAGAGGGGGAGGGAGTTCTTCGATTCTATTATAGAAGTATTACCATACGTCACAATTTATGCGGTACAATCAATTTTGCGATATCTGCTTTTACGAACGGTTCAGAATGTACTTCGCTAAAGAGAGCAGCGCATCGTACGAAGAAGAACTATAGTAACATGTAAGTTTCAATGCTACATCAAAAATAAAAAAACATGTTTTCAAATATTATGTATGTATACAGCATGTATGGAGCATCGCGCGGTGCGTTTACTTAGTAAATGTTATTATTAGACTTGACGGCTATAGGCTACAAGTTTTTAGAAATTGGAATCAATATTGGTCCACCGAGTTATGTGGAGATCGCTTTGGGAGATCATTACGGACAAAAACTCTCTCTCAAAACATGGAAGGGCCTCTACGAGCAGCGGAATATTTACAAGATTTGAAACGAATACAAAGACAATTATAAGCGTTGGGCCGCTAGAGTTTGCATGCTGAGCGATGCTATGCTCATACGTTTCGGTTCTTCATCCGTAAACATGATTATGATTGAAACAACGCTGTGACGTTGTTTGAGTTTGACCGATATATCAATGTAATATTTGAATGATTAGCTAGACTAGATATGGTCAATATATATAAGTATATGCTATTCTCCAATATCGCGTCTCCAAGAACGTTCTCCAAGTTTGACGGATGTATCAATGTAACATTTGAACGATTACCTAGACTAGATATGATCAATATATATAAGTATATGCGATTCTCCAATATCGCGTATACAAGAACGCGACAGCAATATATTCGACAAGCATCAGCTTGTCGATTGAGTTATTAATTTTAGTTTTTAATACGTACGAAATCAATAATATGATTAAAAATTTTTTTCGTTCACGTTACTATATATATGTACTGTCTTTACTTCCCATCCATTCATCATATCCTATACCTCGATGCGCCGTCGCATTTAGTTTATATAAACACCTGTCAGCGTTTCTCTTAACGTTTCTAGAATTCTACAGCCAGCTATACTTATAATTTAAAGCGTTTAATATACAACGGTCGCTCATAACTAATATCCCGGTAGCTTCGCCGCAGCGAAGGATGATTCTCAGCATCAGCTTTGTCAAACTTCGTTTGCGCGAAGTTCATTTTTCTTTATACGAGTGATTTTTTATAAAACGTGCAAGAATATTCCATCATTTATCCATAATGGTAGATTATTTTTGCACGTGTACGTAATTAAGTAAAAGTGATTTTTACAGTGTAGTTTTATTATCTGTAAACAATGAATGATAAACAACAACAAAAAGTTGTGGCGACTGCTTCTTCTTCCTCAGGTCCCTTCGTCCGACTGAATAATAAGACTATTGCAATTGATATCACTCAGTTACATGTCGGCGAAATTGAGTTATTCCATCACCTTCTCAAGATTGGCGAGATTGTGGAGGTTGATGAGGTAGTGGAAGAAGAGGAGGAAGAGCAAGAGGATGAGGAAGAAGAAAAGAATGGAAGAAGAAAAGATTGAAGAGAAAGAAGAGAAAGACCAAGAGGAAGAAGAATTATACATGGGTGACCTGCCTATAAATTTTAACAACATAAGTCCTCAAGAATTTGCGGATTTCATGATGAGCCTCTATCTATCGAGCGAATTTGAACTCTTGAACTTTCACGTGACTGAAGCTGAAGAGGAAGAGGAGGAAGAAGAAGATGAAGAGGAGGAAGAGGAAGAAGAAGAAGAAAAAGAGAGTGTCCACCGGGAGTCCAAGATCTCCACCAGAGAAGTGGAGAATTCTCCTCCTTCCCTGAAATACCCTGCGGAAGAAATATCGCAATTATTTGATACAATAAATGAACTCAACTTAGGAGTTTATCTTCTTAGTGCCCTGATTGAGCAGGAAGAGGAAGAGGAGGATGACCATTAAAGCGAAGAGGAAGATGGAGAGGGGGAAGAGGAGAAGGGGAAGGAGGACGCGGAGAAAGTAAGAATTTTTATTATATATTTTGTTTAAAATATTTTGTCCGCGATGCATTTTTGGGGAGAGAGTTCGCGGCACATATCATTAATATTTGATGTTTATGTAAACAGTCAATGTCTTCGACAAGAGGCCTTTTCTGCGCTGTCACCTCCCTTCCCCCGTGACATACCCATGTCCACGAGTACCCGCGCCTACGAATACTCTCCGCGCCCGCGCCCTACGCGCCTATAGTTTTTTAATCCAAAATCTTTACAGTATTGCTACTTACATAAATAATTAAAAATAGCAGCTTTTTTTAAAGAATACAAACATTACGACACATCTTCAACAATTAAAATTCAATAGTGTTAATAAAATTAACCAAAACTAATCAAAAATTTCTTTTAACAAAATCACTCATATGTGATGGGCTTCAAAAAAAAGCGTTTACAATTTTTGTTCTTGCCCTTTTCTTAAGGTCTCACCAGGTACTTACTCGTTCGCCTGGTCCGCCTCTGACTTCATCCGATAATTAAATCATGTCCACTAACTGGTACATTTATCTTAGATATTATCATGATTCGTTGGCAATAGTCTCATACATTATCGCCAAATATAAGGCGTTTTAAAGTACGTCATAAGACAGGTAAATTTTTACGAGATGGCGCCATAATGAACTATGTAGTATATAGCCAGGAAGTAACACTATTCAAATTGCCTCATATCAAGTTTCAGCGAAAAGCGACGCTTAGTTTACGTGTGGCAGACGTTGGAAGTGAGTATGGCAGCAGTTGTCGTAAAAATAGAGAAATATGAACTCCATGCAGTAATTAAATATTTTTATTTAAAGAAGTGGACGGCTGCGCAGATCAAAGCCGAGTTGAATAGAGTTCACGGGGATATCAACCAAAGATGAAGGCCCCGGACATCCAGTTGAAATCACTACAGAAATGATTGAAAAAATCCATCGTATCGTCATAAGATTGCCAATTAAAAGTGCATGACATTTTATTAAAAAAATGTTTTATTTTTTAAATTAATGTTATTAAATGGTGAAACTGCCCCAGAATCATGTATCTTATGATAAAAATAAATGCATTTTTTAACAAGTTAATAAATAGTAAAACCCAGGTCAATACATTAAACGAGCTATAGTTAGGTGTACTAAATAATATTTATTAATCACAAATTTTTCGATGATAGGTTTCAACGGTACGTTTAGATTATACTTAGTCCTCATCAATCGCAAAATACCAAATATCTAATTATATTAACATATTGTGAGGATCATCTCACGTTCGAGTTACAATAGATAATATAACAGATTTCTAAGAATCATCTCACCTTCGTGTTACAAAGAATAGTATAAGGTGTAGTAACAAGATATCCATTATTTTTGCATGAAATTGAAGGCTTTATTTAGTATAATTAGAATGATCCGATTTAGGTCAAATATGCACCGTTTTGTTCGATAACTTGTTGCCATTTTAAAGGTAATTCCATTATGCCTCTCTCATAGAAACCCTCGTCCCTATTAGCAAAAAACTGGGACAGTCGATTTTCACAAGCTTCTCTTGAGGCGAATTTTTCACTAGCAAAATCATTCGCCATAGACAGGAACAGGTGGTAATCACTTGGAGCCAGGTTCGCACTATAAGGTGGATGCATAAGAACCTCCTAACCAAGCTCCCGGAGCTTCTGGCGAGTCACTATTGATGTGTGTGGCCTGGCGTTGTCCTGATGGAACACAATTCCTCTCCTATTGGCCAACGCTGGCCGCTTCTGGGCGATTACTTCTTTCGGTCCAATTGTTGACAGTACAGATCCGAATTAACAGTTTGGCCGTAGGGGAGCAGCTCATAGTAGATGATTCCCTGCCAATCTCACTGAACACACAGCAAAACCTTCCTGACCGTCAATCCTGGCTTGGCCACCGTTTGCGCCGGCTCACCGCGATTCGACCACGACTTTTTTCGCTTAATGTTGTCATAAGTGACCCACTTTTCATCATCAGTCACCATCCGCTTCAGAAATGGGTTGATTTTGTTACGATTCAGCAGCAATTCGCAGATGGAAATTCGGTCTATGAGGTTTTTTTGCGTTAACTCGTGGCACCCATACATCGAGCTTCTTTTTATATCCAGCCTTATTCAAGTGGTTCCAAAAGGTTTTTTGTGCAATGTTTAGCTCCTGGGAAATCGAAACAGTGCTTACATGACGGTCGGACTCGACGATTTCCATTTATTTTATCGACATTTTCGACAATTGGGCTTCCAGAGCGTAGTGCATCTTTGACATCAAAATTACCGGAACGGAATCGACGAAACCAAAATTGCGCGTGATTGGTTGTTACAGTATCAGGACCATAAACACTATTCACATTTTCAGCCGCCTGGCTTGCGTTTTCGCCTTTATCGAAGAAAAACTGTAAAATATGTCGTATTTTCTTTTTGCTGGTGTCCATTTTTGACGCGCGCTCAAACAATACTGAGTCAAACAATCACAAAACTGTCTCAGAAGTTTTTTTAGTACGAAATCTTATCTTTCTAACGCCATCTAGCGTAACCCGATCGCACTTATACAACGCGAGATACAGATTACTAAAGTCATCTATTGGAAAAATAATGGATTTCTTTTTACTACACCTTTTATATCGTAATCATATCATATGTAGTCAAACTTGATAATTAATAAACGATGTAGTGAAGAGTCATGATTCTGAATCAATTCATCGGTTAATAGCGAGAAAGGGCAGTATGAATAAATGAATAAATTCCAGTCATATTAATGCTGTAGTTTGATATCAGATCATATAAATAATTATATGTACGTCCTTAATACAATAATATTGGTAGATAAACTAAACAGAATAAATTATCGTCGAAATTGAAACTATAAAGAAATTAACAGTTTGTAATTTAAAAACTATCTTTAACAATTAAAAATATATGATAAACCGATAATAAATTATAATTTTATGTACGTGAATATATACAAATTTTTTTCAATTGAACAAAAGCACAACGCGAAATACAAATAACGACGCTTTAAATTTATAATGTCAATTAACAAAATTAAATAATCATCAAGGAATAAAGAAGAAAGGTTACAACATTTACATTAATATGAAGGCAAATTATAAGTTAGCAACAGTCTATTAAAAATGTTGAATTTAGAATCAGTTATATTCACTAATGCCCGACTGATCTTGACTATGAGAGAGATAAACGCAAATGATACCATATGTATGTAAAAGTATATAGTATAGGTTACAAATGTATTAACAAATTGAACAAATTCATAAAAGCGCATAAAGACAAAAAGTAATTTCTGAGAATAATAATGTAATTTATAAGATCCAATGTAACAATTGTGACGTATCTTATATGGGACAGACGAAGAGGAAACTCAATACCAGAATAAATGAGCATATTAAAAATATAAAGTTTGACTCATCTAGACATTCGATTATAACAGAACATATAATACAATCATAATTTTGATTGGAAGAATGTCAGAATAATGGATACGGAACCAAATTATAATAAAAGACTCATTTCGGAAACACTACATATAAAAAAACAGTTAAATGGTATAAATTTAAAAAAAGACACCGAATCTCTAGAAGACATATATGTTTATCTGTTAAATTATTATTATTATCTGTTAATTTTTAATAATAACAAAAACGACAGCGCTTAGTTCTTTTGTCTTTTGACTTTTTAACATATGTATGGTAACATTTGCGTTTATACTCTCTTACAGTTAAGATTGGTTGGGCATTAGTGAATATAACCGATTCTAAATTCTATCTTACATTTTTAATAGACTGCTGCTAACTTACCATTACATATAATTTATATTTGTCTTCATATTAATGTAAGTGTTGCATAATCTTTATTCTTTATTCCTTGATAATTATTCAATTTTGTTAATTAAATTATTAAAGCGTCATTATTTATACTTCGCGTCGTGCTTTTGTTCAATTGAAAAAATTTATATATATACACGTACATAAAATTATAATTTATTATCGGTTTACCATGTATTTTTAATTGTTAAAAATAGTTTTTAAATTACAAACTGTTAATTTTTTTATAGTTTCAATTTCGACGATAATTTATAATGTTTAGTTATCTATCAATATTATTGTATTAAGGACGTATGTACAACTATTTATATGATCTGACATCAAACTACATTATTAATATGACTAGAATTTATTCATTTATTTATACTGACTGCCCTTTCTCGCTATTAACCGATGAATTGATTTGGAATCATGACTCTTCATTGCATCGTTTATTAATTATCAAGTTTGACTACGTATGATATGGTTGCAATATCCTTTGTAACACGAAGGTGAGATAATTCTTAGAAATCTGTTATATTATCTATTATCGAACATGAGATGATCCTCATAATATATTAATATAATTAGATATTTGGGTATTTATGCATTTTGCTGATGAGAACTAACAAGGGAAAGTTCACAACTGTCCGCAACCGATTTTTCATGAGATATGTTGTGAAATATGAAAACCTAAAAGATATGTATTTTTTTATATGTGCGCTAACTTATGTTTAAGAAGCGAAACTCTTAAAAAAAACGGTATTTTCATTCAAGGCGAATATCGTTGGAAGTATAAAAGATAGAACAAAATTTTTTTAACAAAAGTTATACAGTTTCAAGAATACTTTAAAGTTATGGATAAAAAAAATTTTGTTTATTTTTTTGTTTAACAAAATATCCCCATAATTTTTTAAATTTTCAAATTTTTTTACCAAATTATAGATTATTAGGTGTACAAAAAAGTTCTGAGCTTTAGATTTGATACAACCGAAATAACAATTTAAATTTTATATATCTTTCCGCCCTTTTGCGGTTTTAAAGCGTTAACATTTGGCCTTCTAAAATGCCATACGGTTTGGCGTTTGATGCACATAACCTCAAAAATTAGTAGTGTTCACGATGGCAATAACAAAAGAGCATATTCGATTTTCCATCCACTTCGCGTTTCATCTGAAGAAAAATGCTGCTGAAGCCACTGCAATGATTTGTGCTGCATATGGAGAGAATGCTGTAAGTCATGCTACATGTAAAAGACGGTATCAAAAGTTTCGCCAAGGAGATTTCAGTCTTAAAGATGAATCGCGTGCTGGACGCCCTGAAAAGATTGAAACGGACGAATTGCAAGCACTGCTGGATATAAACTCTGCGCAAACTGAAAAGGAGCTTGCAGAACAGTTTGGCGTTATGCAGCAAGCCATTTCCGTACGATTACATACGATGGGAAAGGTTCAGAAGGAAGGCAGATGGGTTCCGCATGAATTGTCCGAAGACAACAAAAATCGACGGCGTGACACTGCACTCACTTTATTTTCAAAGTTCCGGAAAAAAGATTTTCTGCACAAAATCATTACAGGCGATGAAAAGTGGATTCTTTATGATAACCTTAAACGTAGAAAATCATGGGTTGATCCTGGGTCAACCTTCGACATCGACGCCAAAGCCCAATATCCACGCCAAGAAGGTTTTGCTCTGTATCTGGTGGGATTGGAAGGGTGTGTTGTATTACGAGTTGTTACAACCGGGTGAAACAGTCACGGCAGACCGCTCCCAACAACAATTGACCAATTTGAGCGATGCATTAGAAGAAAAGAGGCCATTTACTGGCTAAGGACGTTGTAAAATGATCTTGCTTCATGACAATGCTCGACCTCATGTTGCGAAAGCGACTCAGGACCATATCTTTGCGTTAGGCTGGGAACTTCTTCCGCACGCGGCGTATAGTCCAGACATGGCGCCTTCCGATTACTACCTATTCCGGTCGCTGCAGCATCATTTGGCTGATACACATTTCGTGAGATTAGAAGAGATACGAAAATGCATTGATGACTTTATCGCTTCGAAGCCGGTGAGTTTCTATCGTCAAGGAATTCGCAAGCTCCCCGAAATATGGCAAAAGGTCGTTGATGCAAACGGAGAATATTTCGCTGATTAATATTTTTTCGTTTGTTTTTGAATAAAGATTGAATTTTACAAAAAAAAGCTCAGAACTTTTTTGTACACCTAATATTTTTTTACGAATTCAATCATGTGTAATAAAGTTGTATTACAACATATCATTTTCGAGAATTAATTATTAACGCTTCCGTGTATACGTAATCCATGCTAATATGCATAAGTAATTGTCGTCGGTAAAGTACAATATATTGGGAGTACAAATTAGTTCAGTTTTCCAAAAGATGGCTCCGGCTGTTGTGAATGATTCATAGTGACAGCTGATTTTGGCGTTTTCAGAGAGATTAGATATCTGCTAATAATATTCAGTTTATATCTTTGAATTTCATACAAAAACCTTGATTTTTATTGTATTTGAAATGTCAAATTTTGTGTTAACCAAGCAGCATTTGCGGGAGGTTCTAATTTTCTGCTTTAATTGGAAGAAAAGTGCAGCTGAAGCCCATCGAATGCTTGTCGAAGTTTATGGTAACACTGCTCCAACTGATAAATCATGTAGGGAATGATTTCGACGTTTGAAGGATGGAGATTTCAGCGTTGAAGACAACCTCGCTCTGGACAGCCAAAAAAATTCGAAGACAAAAAATTAGAGGCATTACTCGAAGAAGATCAGAGTCAAATGCAAGAGGAGCTTGCAGAATCATTG